ATTGTAGATTTCCTCTTGAATGAACACAAACCTGCACGTGCTCAGATGCGTATGAGATCCGTGCTGTCCTCTCGGACATCAGCTCAAAGCTCTGCAGTGTGAAAGGCAACTTGCTGGATGGGACTCTGGATGCTGCACCCTCTGACTTGTGACCCTGATGAAGTGAGCCTGTTCACTGATCCACGGTCAGATGTTTGTTCACCAACACAAGGAGCACGTGGATCAGACCGCTGACCTCTGGTTAACTGAATAGTTCCACACTTTAACAAATATGCTTATTTGCTCTCTGTTTCTCTGAGAATCAAAGATGATTGTTTTCTTAAAGGCCGTATGCAGCAGCCAACAACTATCTGACATTTTAAAATAGTAATAATCTGAAGAGAAAGTGTAGTCGCTCCTCTCTCTGTGTGTGCTCTAAACAAAGCTGCCGTGTTCTTTGCTGCGGCAGTCAGTTCGGCTGCTCATGCATGTCGGTGCATGTGATCTCTGCTGTGCAATGTAAAATGGGCAAACTTACACATTGACCTCCACAATAAAAGCATGCTTTTGGGCTTAAAAGCCTCCTATAAAGAGAAAACTAGAGCAGCTCTAGTTTTCTCCGGATATAGAGATTTATGAGTTAGTGGGCTTAAACTTTTGCCTTTGTTTTAGTTTGAAGTTCTGTTGTAGGGTTTTAAATCCTCACATGGATTAGTGGAAAACTTGTGCTTTAACACTCAAAATAAGAAAAGATTATTTTGAATATATCATATCAATTGGATTTTTCCATGTACACTGCTAAAGCTGACATGTTTTGCCTGTCAGTAAACCTAAATTAAATTATGCAAAAATGTGCTTGGCACCCTTCTTACACTCATATTTAGTGTCTAATTTATGCTGTCCTCCACTGAGCATCAGTTTAATTTAACTGTTTTTAAACGTGGCTTCAGAAAGTTGTCAGATCCCCTTCACTCACCTGATGATGCAACTGTTTATCTTTCTTTTTTTTTATTGCACTCACGATGGCCAAGTGAAATCAGTTTTTTACACAGACACATAATAATTAAAACAATCACATTTAAAATACGTATTCAGACCATTAACAACAGCACTTAAATATTTGCTTCGATGACCCCCGTTTTTCTGGATCACTGCTGAGATGTTTCTACACCTTGATTTGATTTAACCTGTTGTAGATTAAATTGATTAGACATGGTTTGGAAAGAAACACCAGTCTGTAGAAGATCTCCTAGTGGACTTACAGGAACAGATATGTGTTTTCCTCAGAGCAAAACATTAAAAATCTACCTGGATTATTGAGCATGCATCAGGATATTAAAAATCTAGTTTGAAGGACTCAGACTGAGAGAAGCAAGATTCTTTGGTCTGATGAAACCAAGACTGAACTGTTGGACCTCAGTTCTAAACATGGCTACGTCTGGAAGAAGCCCGGTACCATACATATCCTCACAGTAACTGATGGTGGTGGCAGCATCATGCTGTGGGGTTTTATTCAGTGGAAGGGACTGGGAGACTAGTCAGAGTTGAGGGTAAGCCAAATGGAACAAAGTACAGATATATCCTCAATGGAAACTTGTTCCACAGAGCTCCTCCGCATGTTAGACTGGGTCGAATGGTCACCTTCCAACATGACAACGACCCAAAACAGTGAAATTTAAACCCTTTCTAACATCTATAAATACACCAGAAAATGGCTCCACCAACTGTCCTGATCCAACCTGACTCAGCTAATTTACAAAGAACTACAGAAAATACACCAATCCAGGTGTGTGTAGATGAACAGATGCTGGGATATATTCATCATTTAACGCGGGTTCCTCATTTTTCTGGACTGAATAAAACGTGCATTGAATTTAAGGAAATGCAAAGTGAGACGTCATTTATATTTGACCCATCAAAATGAATGCGGTCATTTATTTACAGAATCAAATTTAACATCAAACATTTACATTAATTTGGCAAATTATGAAAATAACAATATAAGCAATCAATCAGGAAAAATCATACGGCCATGATTTTTCCGTTGCTGCACCACAGACATTTATAAAACTGTACAACTATGATCTTTTACCCACACGGATGTGAATAAGCACTTTACACAGACATTTCTAAATATCTGGGAGAATTTCTACTTGATAGAAAGTTAAAGATGAAAGAAGTTAAAGGGAGTAAGATTGAATGGGAAGGGAGGAATGTTCACCAGAACCGACACTCTCCATCAGAAGCCCAGCTCTCCTTCGGTACGCTTGGTAGGAAACTTGATCCATTACCTTTCTGAAGATTTATCAGCAGATATGGAATTCCGTTAACGCTACCTGTCCAGCGTCTCCTGATGGTGGCTGTAGCTCGTCAGAAGTAGTGGCTAGTGAAAGTTATAATCCCATGGAACTCGGAAGAGCCTTTTGTCATGTCAAGATCATCCCGTCTCTAACAGAACTTGAGCAGAACCAGCAGAAAACTCTCCAGCACTCCAGCAACTTCAGAACTCCAGAACTCTAGAAGTCTGACAACTCTCCAACTCCGTAACTCCCTGAGTCTCACTGAGTCTGTGTAGACCAGGAAGTACTGACATTTTAAAGACTCTTTCCCGGTTCACTTTTTGGGATTTTTCATTGGTCAGAAACGACCAGACGGGGTGGGTTTTGTGACGTAAGAGGTTAGAGACAGCGAGAATTTGTTATGAGACAGATCAGAAATGTTCTCACAGACCGAGAGGGTTTTGTTTTGGCGTGTTTTCAGGAAACAGGTGCAAAACATCTCTACTTACGTCTGAGAGGATTCTAAAACATGACAGTTTTAACATAACAACTTGTTTTCGTTTTACTGTAACCTTGTAAACGCACACACTTGCTCATTCAAAAGCAGAAATCAGAAAAATGCATAATTACTCTGTAACAGCTTTTAACATGAGTTCTAACTGCATGAGAATAAAAATCATTATTCAGTTAATAAAATTGATTAGTTCACTGCAACATCTAAAATGGTTTGAACTAAGACACTTTGATTATCAACATTTGTAAGATAGTAATGATAATAAAAAGAGAGTGTTCTTTTCACTTGAATCTTCAAGAAAGAAAGTCTCAGGATGGGTGAACCTGTATTTATGTATTCAAATACATGAAATGACAGTTCCTGTCCCACAAGGTTCTAAAGGTCAAGAGTTTTGACCTTAGACTTAGTTTCGACGTAGGCCTAGTCCACTACATGTGTTAATCTTGTAGCATCAAATACTTCAATTCAGGACTAAGTAAAGGACCTGAATACTTGTACAATTGTGATATTGCACTTATTTCTTTTTAATACATTTCCTAAATTGCATCAAATGTATTTACTGTCATTATGAGGTACTGAGTTTAGATTAATGAACTACTGATTGTACTGTCAAACCAGGGGTACGTATACCCACCAGAAAAGCTTAAAAATTTCCGTATACCCACTTACAAGTGCCCAATGACACATGACATACGTGTCATTGATACGTTAAACGCTTCTGTAACAATCTACCTGTATGCAGCACTTGTTTATTACATTCGCTTATCCAGCGAATTATTGCATAATTAATACTTCTGTACTTACTACTAAATACTTTAACATGTTTTGCTTTGATACTGTTTTATAAATCATATAACATTTTTAATACAAAGCCAACTGTTGTACAAAGTTTGTTGTTCATTTGTTCAAATATAAGCAGAGAAATTAGAAAATGTTCAATATGCTTAAAAATTAATTGACGATTACATTGTACTAACCAGTGTACTTTGGTCTCTAAGTACATGCTGGTGAGGGTTCTCAGTCATCCAGGACATGATGAATTAAAAAAAAGCGTTCAATACAACAACAACTGGACTTTATTTGTAACAGAAGACGTTTCGCTCCTCAACCGAGGAGCTTTTTCAATTCAAAGAGCAGAGAGTGAGAGATTCAGGTTATAAGGCTGAGTGAGATAAGACACACACACATATGTAGAATGGAAATTCACACCTAAACACATGGAACAAGCACAGTATACGGACCCACTGCGGTAAAATTAGGTTTACGTTGGACGTTGGACATTTGCGTTCCGTGGCTTCAGCTCTGTCCAACGTCCAAGGTGATACTAACGTTACCGCGGTATAACCACTACAAAAATATAGACGACACCACTGCGTCAAAAAACAACAAAATACATTTAAGTGAAGGCATCTGAATACTTTCTGAAGCCACTGTATTTCATGGTCTTTCACCGTATTTAAAATACCTACAAGCTAAGAACTCTATCGGTGCAATAAACAGAAAAAAAAACATATAATCCTAGTTACACAACTGTGTGTTGTCCAGTTTAAGGACAGTCTGTTAAAGACTGATGGCCAAATGTTGTAGGAATGAACCCTGCACACGTCTTCCCAGGCAAAAACCAAAATCAGTATTTGGTTCTGATAGGTAGATTTAATTACCTTGAGCAGAGGCATGCTAACTGTTTCCACCTGTTTACAGTTTTTGTGATAAGCTAAGCTAATTATAACAATCTTTAAAAAAAAAATTAAAAAAAGCACATCAGCGTATTTTCTTAAAATGGTGAACTATTCCTTCAGGTTTAAAAGTTCTCCTGAAACTCCCCACATTGTCTCCTCACTATTCAAACATCTTCAATCATCACAGAAGCTCTCTCCTTAAACCAGAAACAGCCCCTTTATCACGTAAGCGCCCCTTCAAGCCAGCCTCTCAGAGGTTTGGTGTAAAATGTTCAATCTGTGCACTCTGTCTCATCGCATGGCTTGTTTGTTGCATTCTTTGTGTAACGAACACCCTCACCTCCGCACCACCTGTTGCACATCTTTGTGTGGTTTTTGATGTTTTGCCGTGTGTTCATCTTCACATTCATCAAGCGACACTTGTCCCCGTTTCTCCTCGTTTGTTTCGTTTTCCTTAGTTAAAGTTTCTTTTTCTGTGTGATTTCCTTCGCAGTTCTCTCGTTTTATTAATAACCTTGTTGCTCCTTCCTCCTTTCTATAAATTTCCAGAGTTTCGTTCCCCATCACACGGGGGCAACCTCAACCGCTCGGCATCCCTAAGCTGCACTGAGCGCGCTCAAGAGAGCAGCTCCATCGGTGGGAGCAACACTCAGATCCCAGGAACCCCCTTCCAGTACATCCCAGACTTCAGCGTCCGAGCTCTCGCTGATCTTCAGTTTGTCATGGTAACTCTGATTCACCAGCTCTTTACACCACCTATGCTATGAAGAATTTGAACCTGTTTTGTTTTACTGACATTAATACAATTGTACAACAGGCCACAATAAATTATCTTATAAATAATCATCTTTTATTGTTATTATTATTTTCCTGTTGTATCGTTTCAACCTAGAATTTAAGAAAATGGAACAAAATCTACAAAAAGCGCCTCAGAATGTAAGCTTAATTGAAGAGTTTTGTTTTAAATCATTTTAAACGAACTAAAAATTATAAGTGGCGCATGCATATGTATTTACTCATATAAAGTCAGTACTGCGTAGAGCAGATGTGGGCAACATATGGCCCGAGGGCCTGGAGAAAATCTCCATCCGACCACTAATGTCCTTAATTGGAAAATGAAGCAACTTTTAAATAGGTTGATGAAATCCTACATTCTATCAATGAAACTTAAGGAAGTCTAAATCAAACATCTTGGACAAATACATCAAAAACCTTTGGTTTAAAATAGGCTAAACCTTTTTTCTTTGGGGTCATTGTGTTTCCAGAACTAGACAGAGCCAAGACTCCAAAAAGCAAACGCATAACTTTTTTCCTGCATATTAATGCTAACAGATCTATTGTCACATGAGCTGGTTTACAGAAAGTTTGTCTTATATTACTGAAGAACATTGGGGAGACGTATTTTGATCAAGCATGCTTACAAGCAAAAGACTGAAAAAAGTCTTCCAGATTATCTGTCTTAAAAAGGAATTTCCAATACCTATGCAGCCCTTTGATTGCTGGAAATATCTTGATTTTGCTCTCTGGAAAAAAAAAAGTTGCCCACCCCGTTACAGGATCGCTTTTTACAGCAACTACAAACTTAAAGCTTGGCCCAATATTTGTCCACTCTTTATGACCAAACTGCTCCAGCCCCTTCAGGTAGGATGGGTTCTGCTTGTTCAGACAATCTTTAAATTATTCCAGACATTCTCCAATGGATCTCGTTAAGAATGTGCATACGTCTGTTGAAAGATGGACGTATTATGGTACAGTCTTTGTTCGTTGTCCACATGTATTTCCATAAACTTTCTCTTGTTATTCCCATAACCTGATCTGCTCAAGATAATTTGATGAAACTTCCTACACACATGCATCATCACTAGACCAAGGTCACATACACTTTTCATCACACCTGCTTCAAAATCAAAGGCTATACAACGTCTTTGCTTGTCTGATTGTTGTATAGTAGTTTGTTAACAGGTGTCATATGCAATACTATTGTTCTGTTCTTTGGCTACATCCACTTTGACATGTATGGAGAGTTTTTTGGTCTTTATGCTGTCATTTGATTGGTGGAAGCAAACCAGTGCAATTCCTGCAACAGAGGTTGATTCTGTGCATAATATAAAATGTTTGCATTATTTAAAATATAGATTATTCACAAGAGGAAGCTTTGTAACCATGTATGTGGCCTCTAAAGGTAATGAATGGGGCTTTTCAAGCAAAGAAAGGTAAAACATGCTTGCACCACTTTTCAGTTTTATTTATAATTTTTTAATTATTTAAAGTATGTTTCCTCAATTTAACGTCATTTATTTGAAGTAGATTTGTAATGAAATGAAAACTAAAGAAAGTGGATAATTTTGCAAGCCACTGTAATTATTGGCTCTAACTTGAGTGCAAATTATTCTACAGCCGTTCTGAAATGAGGGAAACCTTCAAGAAACGTGTTCAGTCTTTATTTATCATTGTTTTATCCTGTTTAGGTCACTCGTGCTCATTACCAGAACGCTCTCCTGGCATCTAGGCTGGACAGCACGCCACAGTCTCCAGAGGGCAGCCACACTCGCTTGGACACATCTGTTTCTTTGCCTCCTTTTACGCAAGTGGGAGCACACACCCTGCCGCCATTGGCCACGCCACCTGCAAGGCATCCATCATCCAACACTCAGTCAACGCCGCAGAGCGGCCGCGCCAGCTTCACCATTGGCACTTCCTCCTCTAGTCGCAGGCCGAGCCAGTCTGTGCCCCAACTCAACCCTTCTCTTAATAGCCACTCCTCTCTCTCCCAAACGTCTCCCTCCTCTGTGAGCACAGTGCTGTGCCCCATAAACCCACCACTGACTTCCGTGCCCTCCAAATCCCAGCGGTCCTCTCCCTCTGAAAGCCCAGAAAATGGTCCTGAAGAGACCACCACTCTGCTCAGTGAGCAGCAGAACTGTGTTGGCCCCCGCCAGCCCAGCCACACCCAACCACCCCCACAGGGTCACTCTGTCAGCCATGCACACACTGAAAGCACCATTTAGCTATAGTACCTCTAGAAAAACTACCCGTTCACCCTCTGGCACTATATCTTGTTCCTGTACACTGGCTGTGTCCAAAACTTTTGTACTTGAATGAACTGGAGGATCAGCACAAACTTCAGAGATCCTCCATCATCCCTTCCTGCTTGATCCCCACCCAACACTGACAAACGAACACAATAAAAAGAAGGAACAAAAAACACTAGTGAGTATGTGATGGGATTAAACATGTCTTTTTGAAAGACTAGTTGACCCAAGTATCAGTCTGTAGTTGCAGTTACTGGTAGTTCATCTGATTTGTTTGATTTGTGTCTCCGTTTGGATGCAAAAAGGTAAATGGAATAGTCATGGTGCACACAATTTTGGGAAATAACCATTTATTTACAACAACAAAGACTTACATTCAAAATTCCTAACTAGATCTTGTTCTAAAAGTAAATTTACCTGTAAGAAGTGATAATCCAGAGCTCCCAGTCTAATAATAATAATAATAATGTGTTATGATCATTGTATGTTCCCAAACAATGGTGAAATTGGCTCTCTGCATTTAACTAATCCACCCCCAGATGGAGCAGTGGGCAGCTATTGAGGGTGCCTGGGGAGCAATTGGGGATAGGGTGTACTGCTCAGAGACACCATGAGATGTGCAATGACTGGGAATCGAAACTGGGACTTTGAGGTCCCGAGTCGGCTGCCCTGCCTCTAGCCCATTTCGGCCCCCTATTACAAAGTAAGTTCCATTTTTTTGGTTTTCTTTGGAGTTTTGATTCTGTCTTTAGGAACCGATGCTTGTCTAGACTAATGCTAACCATAAAACAGTTTTATGGCATGGCTCCAAAGACAGACTCCTTTTTAATCCACCTCCAGTTATTTTTAAATGCATGAATCAAACATCATGATGGGAGCTTACACAAATGAAGGCGACGTCACAGAACCAGGGAATGACAGCAGCTTTATTGGTTAGAGCAGAGCACCGCGTTGACCTCCACCACACTTACATATTTATGACTCTTTGCCACTGTCTCATCAGATCTGCACCACACCTCACCAGTTAAGGGTCTTCCCACTGCCGGTGCCCACCCCCACTCAGTCCGGTTTATGTAACCACTTTGTTCATGGTTCCAAGCGAACTGCTCTGAAGTGACGATTTTGACATTGCAGACCAATCAACGATATCTGATGTCTGACATACATGTCAAGTCTTAGTGATTGTTCATACATTATACAGGGTTTTTCCCAAATTTTCATGACTCCGGACATAGAGAGAAAGTTTTAGGGATTTTTCAAAAACTCAGCTTCAAATTTATTTTTTACATCTCAGAGCTGGCCCCCATTGTATCATGTGAGAGTTACAGATTTTTAGTGAATTGGACGGATTTCTGAAGGTCAGTATACAGATAAACATCCAAAGGAATTGACGTGTGCCAGCACTAACTGCAAACTGCGTACGAAACGCCATTTCTTCTCCTTTTTTTTCTAATTTCTAGTTCATTATGGACGCTCCAAAAACTGCCGTGGATCATGAGGTCCAGACTAGGGATGCACGATATTGGATTTTTGGCCGATATCCAATATGCTGATACGTTAAAATGTATTTGGCCGATACCGATATTTTATATACGTTCCTTTGTCAGAACATATTCCTCTTATTTAGGCTTATTTGCTATAAAAATTGCGCAACAGCTGTAAGAGCTGGTGACATATATTCAGTAACAGCCATAAGATATGCATAGCACTTTGACTTGTATTAAATAAAAAGTATTAAATGTTATTCATTAGCATTAGTCACCTGTGATGCTGTCTCACTTGTGGAGGCTTGTTCCAGGTTCCTAGCTGCAGTGTGGGATCCTCTGCACTCTTGTTCATGAAGGACAGACTTTTTAAGTTCAAAGTTTTTGTCTATCCATTGTGCCGTAAGACTAATCATGCTAACGGGGCCAACACTTGATGTCTGTGGTAAAACTCACCCAAGTGCTGTCGGCTATTAGCTTCTCAATGATGTCTGAAATGACGGTTTGTAACTCGAGTAACGTTACGTCGGAAAAATATCTCCGACTGAGGACGATGTAACGAGGCTCAACGTAGTCCATAAATCTTCGGAATCCGACATCCTCAATGAATAAAAAAACTTCCACACCGCCAACATTTTGACTTCTTTCTCTCCACCGTGATCAGATCAAGTAGCGCACGTGACGTCATCACGTTGTGCTGGTGCTGCATCCTTGTCACTGGGTTGTCATACAAAAACAGCGTCTTTTATATCGGCGAGTTATTTTGATGGAATGGCCGATATCCAATATTTAACTTTAACGCCAATACCGGCTGATACCGATACCATGTCGATAATATTGTGCATCCCTAGTCCAGACCTTTCGGTCATTTTTGGCGGATCAGAGGATTCAGCGTGAGCCAGACAGCGCTACAACTTTGCATTGACGATCCCGCTCACAGAGCAGGGAAACAAGCCACAGCTTGAAGAACCGTTAAGACGAGAGCCAAGTGGAGTCACACTTATCAATGGCAGTGTCTCTACAGTACTCACCAACTCCGCTCTGTGACTATCTGCCATGACGGCTCAAATGAGTTTTGTACTTTAACACTTAATGCCACACAGGTCACTTTATGGACTTGGGTTAATCTGAGTCATTCACTAAAGTTAATTGTTTATTTTAAATAAAAGTATTGAATCATAATAAATGTGAACTCAAAGAACTGGCAGAAGGATCAAATACTCCACTTTCATACCCATTTCACTCCAATTAAAGTATTTTGTCTGTAGGCCTTCTTCAGGTTAGTTTCCCAGAGAACATCAGTTTAAAGTATCGGGTATTGAGTGCTAATGTTGTTGTTTATGTTGTTGTTTACATATTTATAAACTTTAAATGCAGTTAGAGGATTAAAATTATACCCATTAAGTATGTGTGTGAAATGCACTTTCTACAGAGCAACACGCAACATTCCATTTACCTTTTATGTATTTCAGAGGCACATGTCAACACTTTTGAATAAAACCAAAACTTTGTGCATTTTTTAATTTATTTATGTATTTATGTTTTTGTAACTTTTGTGAACTGACGTTTTGATTCACTACAGGGTAAATACTTGAGCATTGTGCCTGTGTGGCACAGCTTACTTTCTGGAGATGTTTTCGAGTGTTTGCCTTTTTTTCCCCCAAAGACCGAGACTTCCAAAGTCCTGAAACCACGATGGCTTTATTTATTTACACCATGCAACGGTTTTGGTTGCCTGCTTAAAGGATTTTGTTTCTTAAAACTGGAATTTGAAATCCAGAGTTGTGAATAGAAATATCTGTTAGTTCAACTGCCAGCGAAGCGACCAGACTCTGTAAATCCTCTAAAGCCGAAGGTGAACCGTAACACACCTCATCACTTAGTTCTGCACGCTTTTAACCCATTTAAGGTCGAACAACTGCAGATCTTCTGAAACCAAGTTGAAGGATTTGAGGATATTACAGCTTTTATTCGTTTATGTAGCGTGAAAAGCTGAGTCACTTATTCATTGTTTCTGTTTTATAATACAAGTACAGTATTTGGTATAACACTCCTTCTGACTACTTTAATTTCAGCCCAACACATGACCGATGTAAAATCTAAGACCCTAACAAGTGACTTAGTAGTTTAAATTTAGTTTTATTTTACATTTTAAAAAATCTCATAGGTGATCTTGATTAGCTTTTCTCATTTTTTCTGTTCTCTTATTTGATTTCTTTTTTAAAGTAAATAATAAGCTTATTAAGTAAACCGCATGCTCAATCTTTTCATTTTAAAACAAACCAAATAACAATAAATACTGTTTTATAACACAAGCAACAAATGATATGGAACTGAATCACCAAATTGTATAATTAACCCTCCTGCTGTCCTTGGGTCAGTGTGTAGTTTTGACCCAATGGTAGCTGGAAGGTAATAATCAATTTTTCAAAAAAGACTCTTGGTGTTTGACTGTCAAAGAAATGTAAAAAATACAAATATCTTCAATTATACAAAATACAACAAAACTAGATAATAAATATACCGGTATTTTAGATGAAAATTAAATAGTCTAGCTTTTTTCTTTTTTTTTTAAATAAAAATTCTGTAAAACAATTTGATTTAAATAGATCTTGAAGTTTTTAAAAACTAATTACCAATATTGCAAAAACTATTAACTAGCTAATTATACACATATATATA